TTAAATCTCTTCCGTTATAGATACGCAAACAACTCGCCTTACATAATTCTATAAGTCGGTTTCCAAAATGATTTACCACTGTGTCGGGGTTAACCCTATCAGTATAATAATCATCAGAGACATATGAAAACAAATCAGAAAGCTGACATTTAACACTGTCGTGAATAATATCATATTTTACATAATCACATACATTACTGGTACGACTGTTAAAATCTCCCAACAACATAATCACACCCCTTCATAACGCTTACACTTTGTATACTTATCTCTCCCTGTTTATCACATCCCTTCATAACGCTAACATTTTGTGACAGTATATAACACCATATATCTACAGAGAAGCCTTACTTTGATAGAGGTTAATCAGACAAATGTAACAAGGAAAGGCATATTTATGTTGCGGAACTGGACTTGGTTTGAGTTGCCGGGTCCGTTTAGACTTTGGAGGCCCCGGGTTCGAGCCCTTGCCTGGCCACGTTGCATTTTTTTCTGTCCTGTTACATTCCTAATGTCAAGAATCAAACGAGAAAGTATTGAGCGCAACATATTCTTCACAAGCCACTTATCCTGCTTTCAAATCTTCATGCTTTTTTTTCATTTCAACAAATTTTATTTCATTTAGAAAAAGGATTGAACAACAGGCATAGCCTATATTAGTTCTCTCCTAAAGGTAACAGTGGGTGTATAAATATATATATATAAATAATAAAGTATGTCGTTATTTTGAAATTTCAAAGTTGATTATTTTAAGTATGAAACATAAAATGTTTAAATATGAAATATGAGTTTGGAAGTAAGGACAAAATTTAAGAGTTGTTATAATATGTGAAATAGTGTATTCACTATGTTTTCCAAACTTATAATTAAATTTTTTTTTTTTAAATAAAAAAAAATTTAGAGCCTCGAATCCAGCATCCATGACAGGATTCCCTCCACTCATGGGATACAGACCAAAAATGTCCATATTGGCTTATCAGCCACTGGTCATCCACCCATGAGTTTTGGGGCCAGTCATGGATACTGCATTCTGATTTTCATAGATAAGATAATTAAGAGAGAATTTGGCAGATTTTGAAGTATTGGTGGATTCAAATCAATATTTTGTAACGATTTGTTAATAAGAAGGTAAATCAANTATTAGTGATGGAGAAAGAAGTTTAATAACTTTCGGTATAATTTCATCAGATCCTGCAGGTTTCTTATCATTAAGTACAGTCAGTTGATCCCTCACATCCTGTTCTTGAAATAAAATGTTATTAAGTATGTTAGGAGACTCAGGAACAGGAGGCAAAGGATCAATATTATCAGAGGATGTTGATATGGCTGTAAAATAATCAACAAGACATTCGGCTTTATCAAGTGGATGAAACAAAATAGTGTTATTGTCATTTAATGGTGGAATAATAGGTGACTTGTTGTTAATTTTCAGAATAGTTTTTGTGGTTTTCCACCATTTAGATGATGAGACATTGGGATCATTTAGAGAGTGTTCTAAATTTTGTATATATCTATCTTTAGTGGTACGTATTAAGCTGATGGCTTCATTTCTGATGTTCCTAAAATTTGCCCATTGATCTGGATTATTGGTCTGTATTGCTTTTTTATGGATTCTATTCCTCTGTCTTAGTTTTAACCTTATCTCGTTTGACATCCATGGCTTATCATTTGGTCGGATAGTAATTTTCTTTACAGGTATACAGTCATCTATAGCTTTATTTATAGCATCAACAAGTACAGTATTAAAACCATTTACATCTTGTTGTTCATTTATACTTACCCAGTTTATGTTATCAATCTTCTGATTCATTTTGATAACATCAGCATTATTATACAGGAGAACATTTTTTGTATATGCATGTTGTCTAAATACAGAGTAAGAAGCACTGAAGTTGATTACAGAGTGATCACTACAGATTGGAGGAGTTACAATTACATTTTTAACAATAGTATCATTATTGGTAAGGACAATATCAATTGAGGAAGAAGAATCCTGAGTTATTCTTGTAGGAACTTTTATATAATTGTACAGATTATATTTTGTTAAAAGTCTTTTTAAACGAGAGTTTGGCTGAATATTGCTCATATTTACATTAATGTCACCAGTAATAATAATGTCTGCATTTGTTCGCCTCGAGTCATCAGTTACATGATCTAGTTTGTTCCAGTAATCAATACTACTGTCAGGAGGTCTATAAATACAACCTATGAGGTTTTTTTTGTTGCTAACTGTAATCTCTGACCATAATAATTCTAAATCAGGAATCTCAATACTTATGCTTAATACACCAGTTTATTTATTTATAGACGTTTCAACCAAGAGCCCAAAAACAGCAGGTGGAGATGTGTGGGCTTCGCAAGGAGGTGGGAAAGGAGGTGACGTTAGGGGTCATGGTCAAGGTCAAAAGAAGTCGGCATTCGGTAAGGCTACCAACGCTCTGGCGACATTTAGACGAGCAGCAAAGGTCGTTACGGCCGTGAAGAGGTTCAAACGAAAACCCCTGAACACGATCCTTAACATGCCACAAGAAGAAGCCATGGCGAAGATCATTCATACTCGCGAAAAAGCCGATTCAACTGAAATCAAAGATCTTCATTTCAGTGAATCCGGCAAAATGGCTGCTTTGATTGGAAAAGAAAGAAAGGATGCCACCTTTGAAAGACGACAGTCGGAAACGTTGCGTGACAATGAAAATCGCGCGAAAGAGGAACGACGCGGACTGTTTGGTCATACTTTGTCGGTGCTGACCCCAGATTCAGATACGTTCAGCTTTGATTACTAGTATCAGATAAAGCAAATAAAGTCATGTGCTCCTTTGCTATTTATTTTCGGAACTTTTGGTTTCTACTCTAATTTGAATTTGAACTAACACTAAATATGTCTGCAAACGTGGTAATACCGCTTGATCTACATCATCCCGAATATACCACAAATACATGTCACAACATTTTTTTTATTATAAATGATTAACTAGTTGTCATTCTTATTTCAAGAAAATAGCCTAGAAACCGTCTCTTTTTATCAATAAATGTTAAAGAGTAAACGTGTTTTTTTGTCTCTTCACGAAAAATTGAAGACTTATTAGAAATTTGATGTAGGTACATTCACGGTATTGACAAACCACCAGGTAACTGGATGTAAGTCATTATATAAATACACAATTTCTAATGGACGAGTCGCAAAACTATATCGAGCCGCCGTCTCTACACTGTCACAATGAATGAGGAAATGAGATTTGTGGAATATTAATCATTTGTTTTTTAATAGGAGATTTGATTAAAGGAACTAGGAGTATAAATTGATTTGCAATTCCCAAATGTGTAGCTTACCCTTGGCCCTTAAGTTTTTGGTATTTTTGAAAATGAATGCAAGAACAAGATGGCCGCCACGCAGGAATATTGACAATGACAAAGTTTTTTTTCGTTATTTGGAAAAGACTAAAAGGATCTTTCTCAAATTTCCAAGGCCCTTTTCTTGAACCCTTGGTCTTTAGGTATGCACGTCAAATTATAACACATATTGAACTCATTCATCCCTAAAGACACATTTGAACTCCCTAATTCAAGTTTATTATGAAATTCCAGGGGTGAATGAGTTAAAGAACAATATGACTGCAACAGGCGACCATCTTGGAATTGGACAGAAAACGTTTACATTGTATCTCTATTCCTCAGAAAGGCGCATTTTGTTCCGCTGAGCGGTACTCTTGTTAAATCTCTTTGTTGTCAATCCCACACACTGTCTATTGGTCAACGATGCAGTCAGTAGAACTGCTGCCTTCGACCTATACTAGCCGAGGGGATTATTATCCCCGCCCAACGAGAGCTGTTGGGTAAATTTGATTTGATTTGATTTTAAAAGTTTTTCTTGAAGTTGGATAATTATTTATAATTATTGTTATAACACAACCTCTATAATTAAATATCTACATGTTTTACAACACGTTGTCAATGTACATGTACTTGTTGTACTACATTGTGTAGACACTCCTGGGACCACATACCTTGGCTGATTTGTAGTGAGTTTCAGATTGTATAAAGTATTCAAACCTTTTATTTACAATAACTGTCGAAACCAAATTCTTTGATCTGTTTAACAAAAATTTGATTGCACAAGTCTAGTTCAGATGGTGTACTGTATTAAAAATAACAAACAGCTTGTTAGGTTTTATTTATTTTTATAACTATCACGGTTGATCTGGTGGTGAAGCTTTGCCTGAATATAAAACCTGTAGCAGTGCATACAGTATATGCTTTGTATTTAGTCAAATTACACACAAATCAAATTATACAAATTAAAGATTGATAAACTAGATTTTCATTATGTCCTAAATAAATTATCGTTCAATCAGATAATACATTCTTTACAAAAATAAAATTACAAAATTATCAATGTCTACCTCTAATAAATATGAAAACATTTTGCTGAATTTTGTTAATTCTCAAAGAGAAAAATTAATGAAAAGGGAGATAACCTATTATCTAAAAGCAACATTTCATGCATCAGTTCGTTCTAGTCAGATCTAATTAACCAATCCTGTAATGATACAACCCTGTAAAACTTTGATGTAGACAGAATTACATGCCTAATCAACTGGTCGGCTAAAACCCCATTGCCACCTACATTCTCTGCAGAGCTGATGACACCTACAAAGCCCCAAAAATAACACTTGATACTTAAATAGGTTTATTTACACAATAACACAATATCAATTTCAAAACAATGATAACAGTTTCACTAGAATGTCGAGGGGTGAGAGTTACCAACTCCTCTACTACTTCACTCCCCACATCAGCAACTAAAGTTTTTCCATCACTGGATATTTAAATACTTTGTACATAATATGGTCACGCTTTCTGTGTATCTGCTGTGAAATTTAACTCAATGATAATTTAAATCCATTGTCAGCCAAGTTGATGATTCTGTTTATCAGCGTTGACGAAATACCATGGTATTCAATATTTTAAAACCATCACCAGCTGACACATATCCGCTGGATAGCACTATACTCAAAGATAAATCCAATTTTTTGTGTTTGGCAACATTTTCTGTATTTTCTATTATGTCATCAGTGTTTGGTATTATTCAGCACTACTGATTACGCTGGGTGACAGTTACTGTTTTATGTCATCAGTGTTTGGTATTGTTCAGCACTACTGATTACGCTGGGTGACAGTTACTGTTTTCTGTCCCCAGTGTTTTTGGTATACAGCACTACAGATAATATGGGAGACACCACAACGTTATTGCTTTAACTCCGCCATTCTGTTGAGAGCACTGCCCGCTCTGAACCACGTAAGCTGTCCCTCGTTCATGGACTGGTTCAGTTGTATCGTTTCCACTGATCCGTCGGTATGTTTTATTTCGCATTTCACTTGCTGCAAGAGAAGAAAATTCACTCCAAATTATTGTTATCAAGAAAATAGAACATATTGGAAATGCATGGAATGCGCAAAATAAATACATCTATGTGTCTACATTATCATGCTAAAGAATGTTTGGTAATATTCGACTGCCTCAGCTCTCAGTTTGATTGAAATGGAACTAAATGAAACTTACCTAGTAAGTTAAGTATATAATATAGATCACAGCGACCTACATTTGATATACTGGTATAATACTCTTCAAGATGTATCCATATATGAAGTCTTATGACAGTTTGAGGTAGTAGGTCTGATCTAGATTTTTGTGGACAGATGTAAGGACTTGCAGACAGAAAAGGCAAACATTCAAATGTCCTATACTATGTTTTAGGGAAATAATAACATGAGGCGGATATTGTCCCCAAAATGATCTGTGTCTGGAAAACCAGTGGTTAAGAATGACAAATCCTCCTTTAGACAAAGGTTGTCTTTCAAGGCAGTGCAGGAGATTGCTCCCCATGACAAAAGTTGTGCCTGGAATGCAAAAGGGAAGGTAGGGATTGTCACAAAGACAAAACAGTCTCCAGAAAGCCAGTCACAAAGACAAAGTTTGTGTCTGTACAGGAAGTGGTAGGGATTGTCCCCTAGACAAAGTAGTGTTTAGAAAGCCAGCCACAAAGACAAAGTTTGTGCTTGTAAAAAAAGAGGTAGGGATTGTCCCCTAGACATAATTTGTGTCTAGAGTGTCAGTTTCAGAATTATCTTGTCAGATTATCATTGATCAACAGTAATTGCTTACCTGTCCTGGAGCCAGATCTTTAAGTCCGACGAGAGAAATTCTGTCGTCTGGTTTAATTTTTTCATAATCAGCAGGATCAGCGAAGGTTAGGGGAAGCATACCTTGCTTCTTCAGGTTGGTTTCTACAATAAACAGAAATAGATTGTTAATTATTTACAAACACACAATACAAAAAATAGATTCTTTTACTAAAACTGAAGGACTGTAAGAATGGTTGGCAAATCTACAACACACGTTGATGTCGATTTAGCCGCATTACATTGAGAATGTAAACTAAACCTTGTGACATCACAAGGAAAAATGCTGCTGCAGATCAAACGATATCTAAGAAAGCGAAGTGCTGTTCCTCGACAAACCATATCAGATAATAGTTTTTTTCCTATTTTATTTTCTGTCCAAAAACATATTCTGTTCAGTTAAAATGTTGATAATGAAACGAAAATGTAATGTTTTAAAAAAACACAAGCCATTCTGATTTATATGTCTAGCCTATGGCGAGCTTTGACCATCAATGCACATATTAGAGAAACTAAATTAAACACAAAAATGTTGATGGAGATGCTGACAAAGTCAATGGACCATGTAAGGTAGGACGCATCCAGCATTTGATGCATGGGTTGAGATGTACTACCTAAGATGCATCTGTGGTCCAAGTGTGGTTGGTGTAGCACTTATAACTTCCAGTGAAACTAAGTTAAACGCAAAAACCTAATGTTGACGCTACTGCCGCTGTCGCTGGAAAAGCAACACCTTAGTGTCGCTTCCACTTGGTGGCGGTGAGACAACGAGACAACCACTACAACAGTGTATTCAGTGTCCTGTCTGTTGTTCAAGCAATGTTCTCATTTCTGTATGCAGATGGAATCAAGTGACTTGTGGTTAACTTTGATTCCATGCTTGCAGTAAAAAACTGGTCTCTCTCACTAAATACAATATGTAGGATGCCAAAGTTTTTACAAATAATAATAATGATAATACTTTATCTTTGGACGGTACAACTCATTCAGCAAACAATAAAGGCTAATCTCTCATGAGGCCCTCTTTAATGATCAGCAGGCACTCAATAATATTCATAATAGTACATAAATATATGAAGATAGGTAGACAGATACTACATTTTCCGGTAAGTTATTCCACACATTTGCAGTTTTTAGTAAAAACTTCTTTTTCCTCTTCCTAATGGTACATTGATGGGGGTATATTTTCCTCTTCCTAATGGTACACTGCTGGGGGTATATTTTCCTCTTCCTAATGGTACACTGCTGGGGGTATATTTTCCTCTTCCTAATGGTACACTGCTGGGGGTATATTTTCCTCTTCCTAATTGTACACTGCTGGGGGTATATTTTCCTCTTCCTAATTGTACACTGCTGGGGGTATAATAATTGTACACTGCTGGGGGTATAATAATTGTACACTGCTGGGGGTATAAAAAGTGTACACTGCTGGGGGTATAATAAGTGTACACTGCTGGGGGTATAATAAGTGTACACTGCTGGGGGTAGATTTTCAAAGAATTTCCTCTGTTCCCGGCTCCATATAATCAGCATCCAAATTTGATTTCATTTTGAGGGGAAAATCCAAACTTGCAGTTCTGAGATTGTTATTTATGTAGTATCATTATACCTAATAACATCAATATATTCTTATATATCTACTATCTAGTGGTAACACCAAAACGCTACACGGCTGCAGGCCTGTTGATGTATTACCGTGTATACGGGCGAAACTCCTGACGATGATGGCACGTCCACCGAGATGTCGGGGCTCGAGTGCAGCGTGTTCTCTGCTACTTCCCTCACCATAGTTTTCATCTCCTACAACCACCCAGGGGATGCTCTGTGCCTGAAATGAGGAAACCATTCAAAAATGTCACTCTTCCTTCTAAAAAAGACCATGACAACAGCCCAAAGGTTTAACATGTCTTGGTATGAGTAAAGTGGAGCGTAGTAATGAAACCACCTTCAATCAGCGTATGTGGATTGATAGTAACATAGCTGGATAACTTGGAAAATGTCTAATAGAAAAAAGGTGTCCTCCTGAAACATTGGCTGCATCGTGGGTAACTTTCTGCAGGTTTTATCACTCACAGAAATTTGGAATTTCTCTCACTTTCAGGTAAGAATGTGAAAGCGCTCCTTTTCATTGAAATAAGTGGAACAATGTTCCTAATATAAATGCTTTTTAAACAGCTCTGAACAGCATCAAACTTTCATTGCTATTTTTCTTTTTACAAATTATATAGGGCGCGCTGTACAAATGTATATTTTTATTAAACTTTCTGCCGGTACCGACCTTGTAATATCTAGCCGTGTCGGGTACACTGCCGTATTTCCCGGTAAGCCAGTTCTTCACGCTGTTAATTTCACCATTTTCCACATTGGTGGCACTGTAATAAATACATAAACATAAAACTAACAATAAGAAACATATACACCGATATCACAGACGCAAATTTTATCTAAGTTTATCATAGAGCTAACGTTGCATGATTCCACCCATTTACTATACACAAGTGTCGTATATAGGCACCAGAGGCGAGGAAGCAGTTCTAACACACGGTATGGGGGATTTGGTAAGTACACTTGACTCGCTTTTCACCAAGACAGCCAGGGTTCTATTCCCCGATATAATGTGAAAAGGTATCGGGTCATCTGCCCCACAGACTGGAGTTTTTCTGGGCACTCCAGTTCCATCACACATTTAAGACCTTGTGTGCTAGCTGTCTGACCAACAAAAGCGATTAATATATGTTGATAAACTAGTTTTACAATTATTGTTGTAAATAAATAAAGTTTCTAAATCTAACATTTTGATATTTTATATTTGGTCTTACCCAATCAGCAGGTTGTTGGAGATATTGTCCAGATGACCTCTGTATTTGAGCCACTGACCAGCAGCACTGATGTGGTCAGTTGTACACTTTCCTTTCACCTGAAATAATTTACATAAGACACACATTTCCTTAAAGGTGCATCATATCATATACATTGTAAATATATCAGTTCCAGGATTATTTTGAATCTTTGCGTTTTTCACTATTAAAATTTAAACAACCACATTCCTATGATATGATAAGTCAATGAAGTGTGGAAATCAGTTATAAAGACATTAGCTATACTGCTGTTATCTATGGCTATTCGTTAGTTTATTGTATGGGGGAGGTGGGAGGCTTCTGTATTAATATATTATGGGCGGTGTTGTTAAAACCAGATCTGCGTTGCATTCCTTATAATAAATCACATCACTTTTAATATATTAGCGGGGTGGNTACACACATTTCCTTAAAGGTGCATCATATCACATACATTGTAAATATATTAGTTCCAGGATAATTTTGATTCTTTGCGTTTTTCATTAAATAAATTTAAACAACCACATTCCTATGATCTCTGAAAAGGTGTATCGAACTTCTCCCTTATATTTAATTCTGGAACAGCCCTTACTATGACTTGTGTCAGATTTATCTTGATGACGATCAGCGAATCTTAACTTCCCCGAATTATCCGATTTTACTTCATGAGTCAGTGATAAATACCCATGAAGGTTGTGACATTTACCTTGATGAGGATTGGCATATCAAGGTAATCCTGACCGTTCCACTTGTCAAAGGGAGACAACAACTGAAGGCGAGCACTTTTAGGGTCAACATCCACTCTGAGGCTTGTGCCATCTCCGGGCGGAGGCTGGAACGTATCCATTCCTGGGTCAAATCCTTTGGACGGCAGCTCGTCACCATAAGGACTTTCAAACTTAAATTTCGACCCTAGACAAAACCCATATACAGTAAATCAATGAACCCCAAAAGGAATTTTCTATACATTTAGTAAAACATGCAAACAAAATTATGGGTACCTAAGAAATTCTTAATTGACAGTGAAATACTCTTTAAGGGGACCTTAAAGATAAGTTTTCTACAGTGAAACCTGAATATTAATAAAAACCCAAGAGAACCTAATATAATAGTTCTCTACATACAGGAAAACAGCAAAAATAGGAAACCCCGGGGGACCAAGTGATTATTTCTCAACAGGGAAACATAATCATAAGAAACCCCACAGACATCGTGGATTATTTTCTTTACAGTAAAACATGGTTTATGCAAACCCCTTGGTATCTGATAAATTAGTTCTCCAGCGTAACACATGTTTACCATGTTTACATGGTATAAGGAAGAGCAGGGAACCAAACAAATTTGTTCTCAACTGTTAGGCACCCCAAGGAAATAATTTCTTTACAGTCAAATTTATTTATAATGAAGTAAATGTCTCAGGTCCCCTTACTTCATTACCTTTCACTGTAAAGAACTAACATCCTTGTGGTCCCTTACATGGTTTGCTGAAGAGAAAATTTTGTCGTTGTTATTCTAAAAAATAATTAACTTTAAAATGACTTAAAGTAACTTTTCTTTCTTAGGTACAGATATAGCGTTTATACTGAATATTTACCATCAGATGCTGTTAGACTGTCTGTTACTGGATTGAAACTGAGTTCTCCAGCGATGGCCATTGCCGTCACCAACTCAGGGGAGGTAACAAAAGCGTGTGTGGCGGGATTGGCATCGTTACGGCCGGTGAAGTTTCTGTTGTAAGATGTAACAATGGTGTTTTTCTCGCCCTTCTTGACATCCTTTCTGTCCCACTGTCCTATACAAGGTCCACAGGCATTGGCTAACACTACGCCTCCGATATCGCTCAAAATGGCTGCCTTTAAACATACGATACACAACCATCAGATCTCAATTAAAGCAGAGAATAAAAAGGATATTCCACACTACCTCCATATTGACCATGTAAGGAAGGTGGGAGGCACCTACCATAGAAATCAATATAATGTAAGCGTACATATTTTAATGATAGGATTATTTTAGCACTTTTCGTGCTTTCATAATATAGTTATCAGTTGCAACATTTCCGAGGTGCATTAATTCATCAATGCACTTATCTACATTGTATTAAATTGAAAAATGCGCTAAAAAATTAAGTGAGCTAGAATAGGTATGTTTACAGTAGTTAGGGGATAAGTCCAGATTTGCCGACCAAACCTGTGAAAATTTAATCTCGAAAAGCCCTTCCTATCTGATGTTGCGCCTACCTGGCCGTCACGTTCAATGGTGGCCCTGATCTGCTCCGACCCCGGTGTGATAGTGAAAGCACTCTTGGCCTTAACACCTTTATCTAGGGCTTGTTTGGCAACGCTGGCCGCACGACTCATGTCCTCGTAACTACTGTTTGTACAGCTGCCGATTAAACCTACAAACATAAAGCAGGCTTTGAATTAGGGTCTATTTCTTACAGAAACAATAGTTTCTTCAAATATAAACCAGGCCTTCAATTTTATTTCATTCAGAAACAACAATCTCTTCAATTGGACACTGATGCTTTGCTGGTTTAGTCAATAAATTTATCATATAGTTATGGTAGTTTGAAGCACATATAGGAAATGTGTGACAGACAGGCTAAGATCTACCTGGCCTTTAACAAGTACACAAAGGTATTTTAACTGTTAATGTGATGTAAAGAAGTAGTGTGAAACTAATAGTTTTGTGAGGAATTCTTTTCTGAGTTAATTTGCAAGGATACTCTTTCTCCACCTTGTTTTTTACATATAAGTTTTACTGAAAAAGTGTCATTTTAATAATGAATTGAAGTATTCACTACAGGCAAATTTCACGAATTTAGTACACACGAAAATAAAGGGTTTTACAGCTTCAATTAATTTCATCCTTGGTGTAAGAATGTTGATCTGAAAAGAATTATCATACAAAAGTAGTAAATGAACATTACCATGCTGGTGTATGGATACTGAACTAATTACATGGTGTTGTGTTGATGTGGATAGCAGTCTTTGTACATGGTGTTGAGTTGATGTGGATAGCAGTCTACGTACATGGTGTTGTGGTTTGTTGATGTGGATAGCAGTCTTCGTACATGGTGTTGTGTTGATGTGGATAGCAGCCTTCATACATGGTGTTGTGTTGATGTGGATAGCAGACTTAGTACATGATGTTGTGTTGATGTGGAAAGCAGTCTTTGTACATGGTGTTGTGTTGTGTTGATGTAGATAGCAGTCTTCGTACATGGTGTTGTGTTGATTTGGATAGCAGTCTACGTACATGGTGTTGTGTTGATGTGGATAGCAGCCTTCATACATGGTGTTGTGTTGATGTGGATAGCAGACTACGTACATGGTGTTGTGTTGATGTGGATAGCAGCCTTCATACATGGTGTTGTGTTGATGTGGATAGCAGACTACGTACATGGTGTTGTGTTGATGTGGATAGCAGCCTTCATACATGGTGTTGTGTTGATGTGGATAGCAGTCTTGGTACACGGTGTTGTGTTGTGTTTATGTGGATAGCAGACTTAGTACATGATGTTGTGTTGATGTGGCAAGCAGTCTTCGTACATGGTGTTGTGTTGTGTTGTGTTGATGGGGATAGCAGACTTCATACATGGTGTTGAGTTGATGTGGATAGCAGTCTACGTACATGGTGTTGTGTTGTGTTGATGTGGATAGCCGTCTTTGTACATGGTGTTGTGTTGATGTAGATAGCAGTCTACGAACATGGTGTTGTGTTGTGTTGATGTGGATAGCCGTCTTTGTACATGGTGTTGTGTTGATGTAGATAGCAGTCTACGAACATGGTGTTGTGTTGTGTTGATGTGGATAGCCGTCTTTGTACATGGTGTTGTGTTGATGTAGATAGCAGTCTACGAACATGGTGTTGTGTTGTGTTGATGTGGATAGCAGACTTCATCCATGGTGTTGAGTTGATGTGGATAGCAGTCTACGTACATGGTGTTGTGGTTTGTTGATGTGGATAGCAGTCTTCGTACATGGTGTTGTGTTGATTTGGATAGCAGTCTACGTACATGGTGTTGTGTTTTGTTGATGTGGATAGCAGTCTTCGTACATGGTGTTGTGTTGTGTTGTGTTGATGTGGATAGAAGACTTCATACATGGTGTTGAGTTGATGTGGATAGCAGTCTACGTACATGGTGTTGTGGTTTGTTGATGTGGATAGCAGTCTTCGTACATGGTGTTGTGTTGTGTTGTGTTGATGTGGATAGAAGACTTCATACATGGTGTTGAGTTGATGTGGATAGCAGTCTACGTACATGGTGTTGTGTTGATGTGGATAGCAGACTTAGTACATGATGTTGTGTTGATGTGGAAAGCAGTCTTTGTACATGGTGTTGTGTTGTGTTGATGTAGATAGCAGTCTTTGTACATGGTGTTGTGTTGATGTGGATAGCAGTCTTAGTACATGGTGTTGTGTCGTGTTGATGTGGATAGCAGACTTTGTACATGGTGTTGTGTTGTTATTTATAGCAGAGTTTGTACCTGATGTTGAGGTGTAAATGAAAAAATGACCAATTAAAAGTGTAAAGACTCTCCCATATACGTATTGAGTTTTATATTATAAACGTTTGATGTTTGGATGAATGGAATGAATGAAATAAACAAGTTTGTTTCTTTGTCTTTGTCAAACTGTGCTAAACAGCTTACATGTTAGTGAAGAAAAACTTTAAAAATGTGTGTGATTGTGGGGAGGAGGAGGACATTATGCCTGAGACATCCGGCCCATATCTATCCACACAGAATTGTGTCATTTGGTTTGTTTTGATGGCTTCTCAATTGCAGTTGCTATCTTTTGAAACAACTTCAAGTTCTAAGCTTGTCTTTGTGTTTTCAATGACAATGTGGTATATATATTTTTCTCTATTTAAGTAATGTAAGTAATACAGTGAAAATTGTCTGATCTGACTTGTGAGTATACATCTAGTGTCTTATCTTACATAAAATGTTAAAATCCCCTTTCTAATGTGAACTATCAAAGAAGACCCCGTCTATTCCGACATCCTGTTTAATCTAACCTTTGAAGTCAAACTTTCACCCTTCACTCGAAAAATCCATATTGGTCCCGTGTTTATTTTGCCGTACATATGTAATGACTATAAAAAGCATAGCATGACAGGTATCAATATTTGCTTTCATGATAAATTTTCCCTCATCACAGAGGATGAAAAAGGCGAAATTTTACTGTGGCAAAAAGTTCTCAGGATACATCAATTATTACTGCACATGAAAGTATATTAATCCCCCGTTAACACCACCACTGTATAACAGACCTGATATTTGAATGGTGAAATTTAAAGAATTAAAAAAAATATATACTAACCAACTTTAATTTCATTAGGCCAGTCATTTTTCCTGGCAATTTCTCCGAGCTGTGAAATGGGGTGGGCCAGATCGGGGGTAAATGGACCGTTGACATGTGGTTCCAACTGTAACACAAATTTCACGCACGTTTCAATCGCGCACATACCATAGCAACATAGTTATAACCATTTGGTAAGTTAATCTCATTTTCACTGTCACTCCTTAGTACGTCTTGCAGGTATTTTACGTTCAGAAATCCCATTTTTTTTGCATTAAGGAATCTTGTTTATTATAAATAAACGAAGTTCATATAAATGCGCTATGTTTAGCCTGAGGATCATATACTGTAGTACTATGGCCAACATAGATGGTGGTTTCCAAAAGGAGTCCGAATTAATCTTACTCTTGTTTTACCAGTACTCCAAGATGAATATGATCAACATGGCCATGTGACAGTTATTAAGATTTCCACCTACTGTACCAAAATTTCAACCTATATAGATATCTGTGACAACGGTTCTTTTTCTCTCTAGTGTATGTACAAGGCATTTGGAATTTCGTAGGATGTTACTACAATGCATGATCCTGTTTGACAAGTGTTTGTAGTTACAGTGTGGTTACCCTCAGAAAAGTCTTCAAACGCTTTGTACAATAAAATAGATCATGGTCGTAATTACCAGTGATGATCTCCCCTACCCCCCGCCAAAAAAAGAAATCCAGCTTAATAGTATTAACATAACGTGTTTTTTTAATGACATTTTTTTTTTTACATCACAGATTGTACATAATATTTGATCAACTTCGAATTTGAAAAACATCCAAACAACCTCTTCTTTTGGTCCAGGTGAGATTGTATTTTTTCGGTAGCCTAAGCTATAATATCTTCAGCAATATATGAACCCCACTTCAATACTTACCGTATCCAGATTGATTTCGACGACTTGGTCGTATTGGGCATTTGGATCGGCGGAAAGAAGTCCTTTGTAGTTGTTTGCAAGGTCAGCAATATCTACGAAAAAAGTGATTCTCCGATTGAAAAATTAAGAAATATTTTCCATAAGAACTATCAAACACCAATGCAATATCTCATTCTCCTGAAATCCTACCTTTCTTATTGTCCTGAAATTCTACCTTTCTTATTCTCCTAAAATCCTACATTTCTTATTCTCCTGAAATTCTACGTTTTCTATTGTCCTGAAATTCTACATTTCCTATTCTCCTGAAATCCTACATTTCGCATTCTCCTGAAATCCTACATTTCCCATTCTCCTTGAATACAATGTATTACCTTGATTTTGTGTATTACGTTGATTTTGTGTATTACGAATAATGAAATGTGCCTATAAACCAAAGTGTCAACATGTGTGAGTTACAAATTACAAAAGTTTCATGTTTGATAACTCAGTTTCAAAAAGTTAAAGCTAGATTTAAATTAATTTCCTGTCGGACAGAACCTGTGGCCTACGTCCTTTTTTCTTCGTTTAAAAAAAAAATGTTAGTACATGTATTCAAATTTCACTGCGTTTCTGATACTAACCTGCCCGGTTTGTTGCTTTCAGATAGTCCTGCATGCGGTGATTGTAAGGGAATATTGAAGTGGTGGCTCCAATTTCTGCTCCCATGTTACAAATTGTGCCCATGCCTGAAAAGAATTCAACATTTCTTTCGTAAGAATCATTAATATCACTTTTACTAACAATCATTTTTAAAACATAACTTCTGGACCCATATTCATGAAACCGTTCTCATGCTCAAACTCAGACATTGTGCTCAAGTCCATTTTCTTGTTCCGCTGATAAATCAATCACACATCACATTTTTCCCGTGATGTTTAAGAATTATGAAGAGACTTGACGCTGAATACTATTTTCAATGATTATATTTGACCTGTATTCCTGAAACCTTTCTCATGCTCAAACTCAGATATTGTACTCAGGCCTTTTTTTATGTTCCGCTGATTAATTAATCACAAATCACATTCTTCCTGTATGATTTTGGCTGAGTCACATGATTTAAAGTGAGTTATTATTAGTTGGGCCTGAGCACAGAATCTATGCTTGAGCATGAGAATGGTTTCATGAATATGGGCCCTGGTCTTTACAGTAAATATGTCTATAATGAACCCCAGGGAACATGAGAAATTCTTTCTCTGTAGGCACAACTTGTTATGAATTTTGACATTCATCTGACAATTCCTCGCTATGGATAAAAAGCTATGACTTCACTATAAGGGAGAATAGAATTTGTACTTACTCTCCTTGACATAATACAGGAGAAACAAGTTTGTGAATTAAGGAGATAATTTAGTTTATAAACCCCGATAATTCTGTGTACGAACCTGTACAAGAAATTGAGTCTACGCCAGGTCCGAAGTACTCCACAATGGCACCGGTGCCTCCCTTGACCGTCAGGATTCCAGCGACCTTGAGGATGACATCTTTGGGCGAGGTCCAGCCGTTCAGTTTTCCGGTCAATTTGACACCTATCACCTGTAATAGTCAGAAGCTTCCAGTTACAAATGTGTTAAAATAGAACTGAACCATACTGATCTTTTAACTACACTCATCTGTATACAGTGGTAAATAATTATACAAGTTACATACACACACCAGATCTGTTAAGGAAGATGCTGGGTAGATATTAGTAGTTTTATAAAAGTAAAATAGATTTTTTTATGTTATACAGTTTACCACATGGTCATTCAAAACACAAAGACAAGCTGAGAACTTGAAGTTGTTTCAAAAGATAGCAACTGCAATTGAGAAGCCATCAAAACAAACCAAATGACACAATTCTGTGTGGATATTTATGGCCGGATGTCTCAGGCATAATATCCTCCTTCTCCCATAGATCACACAATTTTCTATATTTTTTTTCACTTACATAACATATGTAAGCTGCTTAGCACAGTTTAACATTCATTAACATTCCTAACGCCTCGTTTAAGCTTTTTGCTATGAATTGGGAACATGTGCAGTACTCCTGGAAGGAAACAAATATTTCCTGTGCCACATGTGGTGCCTAACACAATCTCTCCCATCAAATAAAATAAACTCTGCACAGCAACCAAACCAGTACCAGAATGTACCGGTCAATTGTATTTACCTTTGGGCATTTGAGTTCCCATGGTAACCCTGCCATGACGTCCACAGCATCAGCTCCTCCCACACCTATACAAGCTCCACCGAGGCCACCTGGGGAGATAAACAATGTTAAAAGGGTAAATGTCAAACACCGGCATTGTCATTTTCTCAAAAAACTTGCCAGAAGTATTTCTTTAAAAATCATCATAGTGGGTATCTGGAAATAATATCTAAAATCAAAAGTAACAATAGAATTTGTTTAGAGATGGTTATATAATGATTCTCAGCAAGCAGCAATTTTTAGCAAACAATATATGACAACTGCAAGCAATTTACAATTTAACTGATCTGAGCATATAGTTTGATGAATATGAGTGACAATGTGACAATTCTGATAGGGCATATGATATATAATATGAAAAATTTAAAAAAAGTAAGAGCAGTTTCAAAAAGATAGGAAAAAATCCAATTTCTGTTATTAAAGAAATAACTAAATGACAATTGTATTTGAAGTAAATTGTATCGTGCAATGGGAGCCGCTGTGGCCTAGGCCTTAAGGCTCCATCTCTGGGCCGCAGGTTCGAGGCCAAGGGCTTCAGGCTCCATCTCTGGGCCGCAGGTTCCAGGTCTAGGGCTTCAGGCTCCACCTCTGGGGCACAGGTTCAAGGCCTAGGGCTTCAGGCTCCATCTCTGGGCCGCAGGTTCGAGGCCTAGGGCTTCAGGCTCCTCCTCTGGGCCGCAGGTTCCAGCCTAGGGCGTCAGGCTCCACCTCCTGGCTGAAGGTTCAAGGTCTAGGGCTTCAGGCTCCCCCTCTGGGCTGCAGGTTCCAGCCTAGGGCTTGAGGCTCCCCCTCTGGGCTGCAGGTTCCAGCCTAGGGCTTGAGGCTCCCCCTCTGGGCTGCAGGTTCAAGGCCTAGGGCTTCAGGCTCCACCTCTGGGCTGCAGGTTCAAGGTCTATGTGGGACAGTCGTCAGATACAGGCTGCATGTAGTTGCTTTTTTATCCAGGAACTCCAGCTTTCCTCCACCACCAAAACCTTGCACGACTTTAAATAAACACAAACAAACTAAATCAAATCGAGCAATGAAGAATACAAACACTGGGATATATTGACCTACCTCCATTTGGTGTGTGGCTGTCTGTTCCGATAAGTAGTAACCCTGGAAAGGCGTAGTTCTCCAGTACAATCTGAGGGGAGATAGTTTAACTTTGAAAACAAACATCTAATATATTGTATCAGACAGTGAAAACCCAATAGGATTGGGTATTTTGGATGTATAATGCAAGAAAACCACCAAGTATAAGATAGCAAAGAAAACAGTTTAGATGTGGCTTAGAGCCTGTATGCAGTATAATACATGGACATGGCAACTTGAGCCAGCCCACACCTTGTAACGGCAGATTTCTGTAGGTCTGACCAGTGGTGGACATCGGTCAAGGGCAGGGGGCTGTAACACATACAGCCCGTCCACTGGTCAGTACCGATCATCATTATGCACTTACAATGTATTTCTATACTCTCAAGCCTCTCATAACTAGCTATATATAGTACTGCATAGCACGAAAACAAAACCCATTCTTAAACTTTCATGGCTTTCACTAATACAGTTACACAGGTGAAGTACAGTGAACAATTTTATAAATTGATTTTTTTTTATCCATCAATAAGTCCATGATTGGTAATAAGCCCACCCATATATATAGCAATTAAAAGGAAATGGCAGTTAATGCTATTTTACTGTTGTCCTGCAATGAGTCCACACATCAGTCAGAGACCACTTGTGCTTATGGTAGGATAAATATGGTACAATATAAAATGTTCTACCGATGATAAGGTCTGATAATCATCATTAGCCACAAAGAAAATATAACTAAAAGTTTCATGTTAAGGTAAAGAGTACTACTTCACATCAGTTCTTATAACCCCGAAGAAAAGTTCCACTTTGAGATGTTTTTTAAAATTTATGTTTTCTATCATACACGAAGATGGAGAAAAAGAAAGAAGTTTTCCTGACATAAAGTTGCTTGCCTATATCATGTCAGTGTATCTATCTTCTTCATATTGATAGTGTACATTGATAACTCCTGGATTGCAAAGATAGTGAAGTGTAGGAATATTAGTACAAAGGCAGTGATAAATCTACATGCGAGTCCTGGGTCCTGTTCCCATAGAATTTATATTTGACCTATAGAATTTCTGAAAATACTGAAATTAAACATCGTGGGACCCATATCTCTCAACAATTCAGTGGAAAAAGACCCATACAAACTAATTGTAGATTGATCACTGCAAAGGTTAAATTGATCCTTGGAATTTTTTGGTTTTATTTTTGTTCATTTTTGTTCTCAAATCCACAAATTTTGAGTGAAATGTATCACAAAATGTGATTTATATGGAACACTTCATGATAGCAACAATGGTGACAATATATTTCAACTTGATGATACCCTTTAGTTTAAACTTATTCTTGGAAAAGAATTGGAATCTAAGTGCTTAAATTTGATCTTTCACAGGTGTTTGAACTCCAGATTAAGAAAGTTTTCTCTCAACAATAACACAACTGTCATAGAACTTAGCCTGCAAAAATTGTATGCATGGACTTATCAAGATTTGATAGATGAATTATATCAGTTCAATATGATTGGACATCAAAACGAATTGTTACTGAAAAAACGTACATGGAGAAAACAGTTTAGATTTGGCTCAGAGTCTGTGTGCAGTATAATACATGGACATGGAGAAAACAGTTTAGATTTGGTTCAGAGTCTGTGTGCAGTATAATACATGGACGTGGCAACTTGAGCCAGCCCACACCTTGTAACGGCAGATTTCTGTAGGTCTGACCAGTGGTGGACATCAGTCAAGGGCAGGGAGCTGTAACACATACAGCCCGTCCACTGGTCAGTACCGATCATCATTATGCACTTACAATGTATTTCTATACTCTCAAGCCTCTCATAACTAGCTATATATAGTACTGCATAGCACGAAAACAAAACCCATTCTTAAACTTTAATGGCTTTCACTAATACAGTTACACAGGTGAAGTACAGTGAACAATTTTATAAATTGATTTTTTTTTTATCCATCAATAAGTCCATGATTGGTAACAAGCCCACCCATATATATAGCAATTAAAAGGAAATGGCAGTTAATGCTATTTTACTGTTGTCCTGCAATGAGTCGTCCACACATCAGTCAGAGACCACTTGTGCTTATGGTAGGATAAATATGGTACTATACATTTTTCTACCGATGGTATGGTCTGATAATCATCAGCCACAAAGAAAACCTAACTAAAAGTTTCACGTTAAGGTAAAGAGTACTACTTCACATCAGTTCTTATAACCCCGAAGAAAAGTTCCACTTTGAGATGTTTTTTTAAAATTTGTGTTTTCTATCATACACGAAGATGGAGAAAAAGAAAGAAGTTTTCCTGACACAAAGTTGCTTGCCTATATCATGTCAGTGTATCTATCTTCTTCATATTGATAGTGTACATTGATAACTCCTGGATTGCAAAGATAGTGAAGTGTAGGAATATTAGTACAAAGGCAGTGATAAATCTACATGCGAGTCCTGGGTCCTGTTCCCATAGAATTTATATTTGACCTATAGAATTTCTGAAAATACTGAAATTAAACATCGTGGGACCCATATCTCTCAACAATTCAGTGGAAAAAGACCCATACAAACTAATTGTAGATTGATCACTGCAAAGGTTAAATTGATCCTTGGAATTTTTTGGTTTTATTTTTGTTCATTTTTGTTCTCAAATCCACAAATTTTGAGTGAAATGTATCACAAAATGTGATTTATATGGAACACTTCATGATAGCAACAATGGTGACAATATATTTCAACTTGATGATACCCTTTAGTTTAAACTTATTCTTGGAAAAGAATTGGAATCTAAGTGCTTAAATTTGATCTTTCACAGGTGTTTGAACTCCAGATTAAGAAAGTTTTCTCTCAACAATAACACAACTGTCATAGAACTTAGCCTGCAAAAATTGTATGCATGGACTTATCAAGATTTGATAGATGAATTATATCAGTTCAATATGATTGGACATCAAAACGAATTGTTACTGAAAAAACGTACATGGAGAAAACAGTTTAGATTTGGCTCAGAGTCTGTGTGCAGTATAATACATGGACATGGAGAAAACAGTTTAGATTTGGTTCAGAGTCTGTGTGCAGTATAATACATGGACGTGGCAACTTGAGCCAGCCCACACCTTGTAACGGCAGATTTCTGTAGGTCTGACCAGTGGTGGACATCAGTCAAGGGCAGGGAGCTGTAACACATACAGCCCGTCCACTGGTCAGTACCGATCATCATTATGCACTTACAATGTATTTCTATACTCTCAAGCCTCTCATAACTAGCTATATATAGTACTGCATAGCACGAAAACAAAACCCATTCTTAAACTTTAATGGCTTTCACTAATACAGTTACACAGGTGAAGTACAGTGAACAATTTTATAAATTGATTTTTTTTTTATCCATCAATAAGTCCATGATTGGTAACAAGCCCACCCATATATATAGCAATTAAAAGGAAATGGCAGTTAATGCTATTTTACTGTTGTCCTGCAATGAGTCGTCCACACATCAGTCAGAGACCACTTGTGCTTATGGTAGGATAAATATGGTACTATACATTTTTCTACCGATGGTATGGTCTGATAATCATCAGCCACAAAGAAAACCTAACTAAAAGTTTCACGTTAAGGTAAAGAGTACTACTTCACATCAGTTCTTATAACCCCGAAGAAAAGTTCCACTTTGAGATGTTTTTTTAAAATTTGTGTTTTCTATCATACACGAAGATGGAGAAAAAGAAAGAAGTTTTCCTGACACAAAGTTGCTTGCCTATATCATGTCAGTGTATCTATCTTCTTCATATTGATAGTGTACATTGATAACTCCTGGATTGCAAAGATAGTGAAGTGTAGGAATATTAGTACAAAGGCAGTGATAAATCTACATGCGAGTCCTGGGTCCTGTTCCCATAGAATTTATATTTGACCTATAGAATTTCTGAAAATACTGAAATTAAACATCGTGGGACCCATATCTCTCAACAATTCAGTGGAAAAAGACCCATACAAACTAATTGTAGATTGATCACTGCAAAGGTTAAATTGATCCTTGGAATTTTTTGGTTTTATTTTTGTTCATTTTTGTTCTCAAATCCACAAATTTTGAGTGAAATGTATCACAAAATGTGATTTATATGGAACACTTCATGATAGCAACAATGGTGAAAATATATTTCAACTTGATGATACCCTTTAGTTTAAACTTATTCTTGGAAAAGAATTGGAATCTAAGTGCTTAAATTTGATCTTTCACAGGTGTTTGAACTCCAGATTAAGAAAGTTTTCTCGCAACAATAACACAACTGTCATAGAACTTAGCCTGCAAAAATTGTATGCATGGACTTATCAAGATTTGATAGATAAATTATATCAGTTCAATATGATTGGACATCAAAACGAATCGTTACTGAAACACGTACATGGAGAAAACAGTTTAGATTTGGCTTAGAGTCTGTGTGCAGTATAATACATGGACATAGAGAAAACAGTTTAGATTTGGCTCAGAGTCTGTGTGCAGTATAATACATGGACATGGAGAAAACAGTTTAGATTTGGCTCAGAGTCTGTGTGCAGTATAATACATGGACATGGCAACTTGAGCCAGCCCACACCTTGTAACGGCAGATTTCTGTAGGTCTGACCAGTGGTGGACATCAGTCAAGGGCAGGGAGCTATAACACATACAGCCCGTCCACTGGTCAGTACCAAGTTCCATCATTACACCATGATTTCTACTTACACCAAAAATTATAAAATCAACTTCCTGACCATAGTTAGTACTGACCGGAGTCAGAACCTACCTGACAATGATCAGTATTGACCCTGGTCAGAACCTACCTGATAGTGGTCAGTATTGACCCCTGTCAGAACCTACCTGATGATGGTCAGTATTGACCCTGGTCAGAACCTACCTGATAGTGGTCAGTATTGACCCCGGTCAGAACCTACCTGACAATGGTCAGTATTGACCCCGGTCATAACCTTCCTGATAGTGGTCAGCATTGACCCCGGTCAGAACCTACCTGACGATGGTCAGTATTGACCCCGGTCAGAACCTACCTGATAGTGGTCAGTTTTGACCACATATTTGTACATACCTGATGGATGATACCGCTGCCAGGTTTCCAGAATCCCACACCGTACTTGGCTCCAGCTGACGACAGGAAGTCGTAAACCTCTTTATTGACTTCCTGTAGTACAGAACGACGCAATCACACTCCACACCAACATATCCTCAGTAAGACATAACAGAGGTTTACACAACAAACTGTACAAACTGTCTGTTTGACCAGTTCTAATATAACGGCCAGGGAAACTTGAAGAATCAATAAAAATACAACCTTCAGGATTTACCGAAGGATTTTTAAACAAACTGATAAGTTACCCATCTCTTTTAAATAAAACTTGTCCTTTTCCTGGTAAAAGTATCAAAAATTTTCATTATAATTTACTGACTGATCTGAAAAACTGTCCACTATGGGTATTTTTTTATTCAAGATTTTTGAAAAGATTTTTTTATTCAAGATTTTTGAAAATAGTGACTGCAATCATTCCAATTTTCCCAAATTGCTAAAGCAGCAGGGGCATGTATTAGATAAACACTGGTACCTTAGCACGGGACAAGTCTTTGGCACCTCCCAGTTGGGCCTCGATCAGATGGTCACAGTGGATGGTCGAGGGCACTGCCACCTTGGGCAGGCCACTGGATATAAACTGTAGCATAGCCATCTGTGAATGAAAAATAAATGCCTCTTTTGTGTTTTGTTAGCAGAATAGCAATATACACCAAAGTAATGGAGAAGTTCAACTGATTGTGTTGCAGAAAAAATTAACGGCAGCATATTTAGACAGAAACTAATACTAACAGGTAAAGGAAACATTTATGCCCCAGCTATGGCTATTAACAAGTTACATAATTATGTTCTCCAATATCTTGATTCATTACTTTGAAACCTGATTGTAATCCTAGCTAACTGCTCTTTGCAGAAAAAACAAATTGACACTTGACAGCCGATTGGGCTCAACAACTGTTTACCTGGGCAGTTGCATCCTGCATAGCGACTCGATCTGGACGCAGCTTCAGGTAGCTCTCACCTCTCTCAATTACCTACACATAAAACCAAATGTTTTATCTCTGAGTTCAATTGAAAATTTCCACAATAACTTTTGCATGACCTGTGTTACATATCTGTCAAAACCAAACCCTCAGAAATTCTCTAAATTTCATGTTTATTAAAAATTATTTTTTTAAATCAATTATTCTAGTAAAATTCATATTCATTGCCATATTAAACTGAAAATCTGGGAATTCATAATGAATACCATATTTATCACATGTCTAAAGTGAACCATGGAAATATTTAGTGAAAATCATATCTGTTACTAATCTAAACCAAACTCTGGGAACTTTGAGTGAATTTCATTTTCTTAAATCATATCTGTCACCTGTCCGAATTTTCAAAAATTGACCTGTGAAATTTTTCTTTGAATACCCATATTTATCACTAACCTCATTTTTGGGGTCATCCAAGTGACTGTAAAGAACTTTTTCCGAAAGAGTCAGAGGACGACCAAGTCTGAAATAAAAACAACATACTTATAATTATTAGATAAGAAGTAAACAGAACCCTTTTTCCCTCATTACAATACTTATCATTGAATCATAGATATATAAACACATCATATAGGAAATAACATCATATCACCTTGGTGATTGTCTATGGATCTATCGTTAGGTTTGAACATTGCTTAAATCAAAATATTTGTAAAAGTTAAATCAATATGATTGAACAATGCTTACCTAGATTTCACAGTATTCATGTTGAAATCCATTTTGTCATAATCAATGTATTTGTCCTGCTCAAACTTGCTCATTGGAACCTAAAAAAGTAACAGATACATAATCCAGGTATTCAATTTGCTTCACTTGAACATATTTTTCAGATGATTTTATTAAAAGAATGAAATGTCCACCGGGACAATCTTAGAATATGAGAGCAGTGGACCATCTTAGAATATGAGAGCGGTGACCATCTTAGTATATGAGAGCAGTGGGTATTCAATTTGCTTCACTTGAACATATTTTTCAGATGATTTTATTAAAAGAATGAAATGTCCACCGGGACAATCTTAGAATATGAGAGCAGTGACCATCTTAGAATATGAGAGCAGTGTCCATCTTAGTATATGAGAGCAGTGGACAATCTTAGGATAAGAGAGCGGTGGACCATCTTAGTATATGAGAGCAGCGGACCATCTTATTATATGAGAGCAGTGGACCATCTTAGTTTATGAGAGCAGTGGACCATCTTAGTATATATGAGAGCAGTGGACCATCTTAGTTTATGAGAGCAGTGGACCATCTTAGTATATATGAGAGCAGTGTACCATCTTAGTATATGAGAGCAGTGGAAAATCTTAGTATATGAGAGCAGTGGACCGTCTTAGTATATGAGAGCAGTGGACAATATTAGTATATGAGAGCAGTGGACCATCTAAGAATTTAGAGGGCAGGGGGCCAACCTTGCATATTAGAGGAGGGGACCATCTTAGTATATGAGAGCAGTGACCATCTTAGTATATGAGAGCAGCGGACCATCTTGGTATATGAGAGCAGTGGACCATCTTAGATTATGAGAGCAGTGACCATCTTAGTATATGAGAGCAGCGGACCATCTTGGTATATGAGAGCAGTGGACCATCTTAGATTATGAGAGCAGTGACCATCTTAGTATATGAGAGCAGCGGACCATCTTAGTATATGAGAGCAGTGTACCATCTTAGTATATATGAGAGCAGTGTACCATCTTAGTATATGAGAGCAGTGGAAAATCTTAGTATATGAGAGCAGTGGACCGTCTTAGTATATGAGAGCAGTGGACAATCTCAGTATATGAGAGCAGTGGACCATCTTAGAACATGAGAGCAGTGACCATCTTAGTATATGAGAGCAGCGGACCATCTTAGTATATGAGAGCAGTGGCCCATCTTAGTATATGAGAGCAGTGGACCATCTTAGTCTATGAGAGCAGTGGACCATCTTAGAATAGGAGAGCAGTGACCATCTTAGTATATGAGAGCAGTGGTCCATCTTAGTATATGAGAGAAGTGGACCATCTTAATATATGAGAGCAGTGGACCATCTTAGAAATTGAGAGCATTGACCATCTTAGTATATGAGAGCAGTGGTCCATCTTAGTATATGAGAGAAGTGGACCATCTTAGTATATGAGAGCATTGGACCATCTTAGTATATGAGAGCAGTGACCATCTTAGTATATGAGAGCAGTGGTCCATCTTAGTATATGAGAGAAGTGGACCATCTTAATATATGAGAGCAGTGGACCATCTTAGTATATGGGAGCAGTGGACAATCTTAGAATATGAGAGCAGTGACCATTTTAGTATATGAGAGCAGTGGACCATCTAAGAATATGAGAGCAGTGGACCATCTTAGTATATTAGAGCAGTGGACCATCTTAGAATATGAAAGCAGTGACCATCTTAGTATATGAGAGCAGTGGGCCATCTTAGTATATGAGAGCAGTGGACAATATTAGTATATGAGAGCAGTGGACCATCTAAGAATTTAGAGGGCAGGGGGCCAACCTTGCATATTAGAGGAGGGGACCATCTTAGTATATGAGAGCAGTGACCATCTTAGTATATGAGAGCAGCGGACCATCTTAGTATATGAGAGCAGTGTACCATCTTAGAATATGAGAGCAGTGACCATCTTTGTATATGAGAGCAGTGGACAATCTTAGTATATGAGAGCAGTGGATCATCTTAGTATATGAGAGCAGTGGACCATCTAAGAATTTAGAGGGCAGGGGGCCAACCTTGCATATTAGAGGAGGGGACCATCTTAGTATATGAGAGCAGTGTACCATCTTAGTATATATGAGAGCAGTGGACCATCTTAGAACATGAGAGCAGTGACCATCTTAGTATATGAGAGCAGTGGCCCATCTTAGTATATGAGAGCAGTGGACAATCTTAGGATAAGAGAGCGGTGGACCATCTTAGTATATGAGAGCAGCGGACCATCTTGGTATATGAGAGCAGTGGACCATCTTAGTTTATGAGAGCAGTGGACCATCTTAGTATATATGAGAGCAGTGGGCCATCTTAGTATATGAGAGCAGTGGACCATCTAAGAATTTAGAGGGCAGGGGGCCAACCTTGCATATTAGAGGAGGGGACCATCTTAGTATATGAGAGCAGTGACCATCTTAGTATATGAGAGCAGCGGACCATCTTGGTATATGAGAGCAGTGGACCATCTTAGGATAAGAGAGCAGTGGACCATCTTAGTATATGAGAGCAGTGGACCATCTTAGGATATGAGAGCAGTGGACCATCTTCAGCAATTTTCAGAGTTTATCAAGAGGGACATTTTATGTAAAATCAAAAGAAAATTGGAACATGGAGTGGTCAATTTCAGTTTTGAGGGATCAACGGCCTATTGACCCCCTCCAGGATTATTCCTGGTCCATAATGACTCTTATGCAAAAATGCCTTCTAAGAGACCAGAAATAGGAACAGCTTGAAAAAAAAAAAGAAGTTTTGATCTTGGCTATTTAGATTCTTTTTTTATAAAATTGAAGACCAAAATGCAATCTGCATATGTATTAGATCAAAAAATAAAACTAAGGTTTTGGTATAGTCCAACAAACTTAGGCTTTATGTGCAGACCAAAAAAATGTTTTGCCAACCAAAAAGAAAAAAAAAGAAAAAAAATTATGGTAGGAAAAAAAAACTGTCTTTCTCTACATACTGACCCAAACTTCAAAGAGGTGGGTTGGTCAAAGCCATACAGAGAATAATTTAAGGCTAGCCTTCGGAGAAAAACATCTTTGAGCTTTAATTGTTGTCACAGCTGTCTCTATCAATGCGTTTCTGGTAATTATTAGGTTACTACATAGAATTTGAACTGTTTTCTTGAAGGAATTTTTTTTTCTTAAATAATTAATTTGGCATTCACGATCAATTAGATAGAATGTAAAGGATCAGGTAATATTGTCTTTTCACACATTGGTGTTGACTATTTCTTACATCAACAGAAAAACAAGAGGCCCAATGGGCCTGCATCGCTCACCTGCTATAAAACTCACAGTTGTAACCTTAAAAGTGATCTAAAATAAAGCTACAGGCAAAA